AATTTTACTTTATATGTCAAATATGATTTTTATGCTGAAATATGTTCAAATTTAGCATTAACTCACTTTTGATTTTTCCGGCTGTTTCCTCCCATATATTCTATTAATTTAGATCAAGGTTGTATAATGAAACAAGTGAACAAAAATAAAATGAAGTAATATGAATATAGTTACATGAAGTTCAATTTAATATGAAAATGTTTTTCATCTATAATGTGCTGTGATTGATATAATTTAAAGTTTTTATAGATATCTGATCAGTAATAAAATTTATAATATTCATTTAACGTGTTTTAATACAGAATTTCAGTTATAATTAAACATATAATTTTTCAGCTATAATTATTTTTATTTATTAAGTAAACTTGTTCATCAAATTAAAAATAAATTTCTGCTAAATTTCAAATTAATTACATATAAATTTTAATGAAATCGACTTAATTACAGTGAATTATTAAAAGTCATATAATATGTCTATCTCTTTTTAAATTTAACTACTATATTTATCAAACAATCTTCACGAGAATAAATGTAATTAATCTGAAATTTGGCAAAATTTTATTTTTTAATTTGACAAACAAGTTTACTTAATGAATAAAAATAATTATAGCTAAAAAATTATATGTTCAATTATAACTAAAATTCTGTATTAAAACACAAAAATATCATGTTAAATGAATATTATAAATTTTACTACTGATCAGATATCTATAAAAACTTAAATTATATGCAATTCATTATGATGCATAACTTTACTTATTATTTTAAAAGTAATTAAATTAATAAAATAAAAAATTTTATTTAAAAGAACCATTTCCGTCAATTTTCTAATTTTTAAGTACTCAGTGACTTTTGATATCCTATTGTACAAGTATTTATGTAATACAGATTCCTGTGAAATTTTACATATTAATTATCAAATAACAGATAAATCTGGACTAGATAATTTATTATCCAGCTTTTACATCTTTGAATGAAATCGCAAAATTATCATCTATTGATAGTTTTGAATTACATATATCAAAGGTTGCACTATTTTCTCACAACTATGACATTCTTAAGATTAAATCATGTTCTGACTAATTTAGTTCAACAACAATAAATTCACCAGGTATGTTTTTATGTTTTTCGCCATCATTAAAGCTGATATGCAGATTAATTTTTCCTAATATGAAATAGTACGCATCTAGAGTTTCAATAGTATTACTTTCTTCATAATATAAAATTCCTAATTCACTAATATATTTTTAGCTAATGCAATTTACATTAGCACATATATCAATTGATGCCTCAATAGAGATATTTTCTTCAATTACACAATTCACGAACACCATTTTTATTATAGCATATAATATTCAAATACAAAAAATAGACATCTATTCACTACTCTAGAGCAGAAAGTTTCTTCAAATCATCAAGCCTTTCTAGTAATTCATTCAAAAGAAACTTCAATCTGCATTTTTTGGCTTCTAATAGATTATCATATGATAACCCTAGAAGAAATAGTTACTTGAGTTGATCTGAATTCTTTGGAGGGAAATTATTACTTGAAGTATACCTTATAAATTTTATATAATAATCTATTACTGAGGTATTGCCTTGTTTTATAATCCCAAATCGAAAATTTTGTATATCAGTGGAATGAATTGTAATGTTATTTAAGTGTTCAAGTAATTTACCTAAAGTATTCTTGATCTCAAACCTGATTACATGTTTTTTATTTTCTAATAATAAACTACTGAAGAAAATCTTTTTAAGCTTTTTGCTATTTAAGTCTAAGCCTGATTTCAAGGCATATGATTTTATCATCTTAAAATATTCGTCCACTGGTTAATCATTCTGAATAGGTAGTGATGTATCTTCACTCTTATCAAGTTCTACTAGAATGCTTAGAAGGGATAACTGATCAATCCAATTAATAGTATCTCTTATAAATATATCTCTAAATCTTCTCATTGTTATGATTAAGAATAATATATCTATCTTTAATCAAAAAAATTCTCCTAAGTTGATAATCTCTTCTTCATGTGATCACTACTTCAAACTACCATTTACTTAACCTTTTTCAGTCGTGCCTTTCTTCATTTCTTATGAGGAACAGCCTTTTCATCTCTTATCCTAATTATTTTAACTGAATCAGATTTTTCAGAAGACTCAGACAAATGGGAGGAACCCTTACATTTTTTGATATTTGACGAGAGAACTATTTCATGTATTAAGTTGATTATAGTTTTCCTATCCACACATTTATCCAAATCTTTAATTCGTCTTTTAAAGATTCCATATTCCTTTTCAATCTTTTTACTCTCCTTTCTAAAGTATTATATTGGGAATGATAATATTTCAATTCTTTCTTTAATGCATTATTTTTATGGAAATATATACTATATGCTTCTATATTTTGCTTTTTAGTCCTAATAACTGATCTATTTTTTTCTATATGCCTGATAACTTCTTGCTCATCAGGTATACTATCAGATGAATGATTTTGCTCAGTTATCATTTTCATGATATATTCTATGTTATATCTTGCCTCAAATAAAAAAATAAAATTTAATAAATAATGAAAAAATAAAATTAATAAATAGTATTCCACGATTTTAATAAAAATCTTTTAATATTCTATATGATTAGTTTTCATCAAAAAGCTTGATTACCTTTGCCTGATCATAAGGTTGTCCTTTTTTTTGATAATTTACTATAGTATAATTTTTTGTAGGAAAGGCATAATTGTCAGGGTTGTATCAAAATGCTTTATTAGTAATAGTCATAATCTCTGATAAATTCTTTGCTCTATATACAACAACTGCAAATACTACCCCTAATTTACATAAATATCTAGGAAGTAATAGTTTAACAGTTTCAGAAAGGAATCTATTTTTTTTCAGAAATGTATTGAATCATTTGACTCCTGATACTTCTAGATCTCTTAACTGTCCAATAGAAATTGCTTCCTGAATCTATATAAGCAATTGCTTTGCCTGTTTCTCATTCTTTTCTAGTAATTTAAATACCTGAGAAATATCTTGTTGTCCCTAGTTTTTTGCATATCCAGTTACATCCCATTAGATATATACAAGGTTTTTATTTTAGCAGAATGGATGTAAAGTATTATTATTATATCAGTTAGAGCTTAAATGTTGGATATATTAGATATATCATATAAATCTAATCTCTTTTTGACTGATTCTAGTGAGAAGTAATTAGGAAAATTGATCCTTTCATATTGCTCACTACTCTCCTTTTGAATTTTATTAGCTGAACAGGTTATCTCTAGAATTAAGGTAGCAAAGATTATTTTTTCTAGAGCATTGAGGATTTGCAACTCTCTTCGAAATCTAGAGATTCAGAATGAACTAATGCTAGCATTAGAGGCAGATTCAGCTAAGGTTTTTGCTATAGATTCTACATCTTTTTCACTAAGATTATTCTGGATAATTAGCTGAGCTATCCTTTCAACAGTTTCTCCTTCTGAAATAAGCTTAAATATTTAGCATAGATTCACTTTCCTCACTTTCAACTCTCCTATTTGAGAAATTACTTGACTTCTACTTCGATAAATTCTTTGATCAGAAACTAATATAAATGTCTGCTCTTTACTAAAATTATACCCTTTCTGAAAATGCTATTGACTCTTGTTTCTTTTCAGTTTATCTGTTAAAAGCTCGAGTAATGCTAAAGCATGCTGGCTAAGTTCTTTATCACTCATATTTTTACTGAGTTTGTGATCTGCAACGTATTTTGTTACAATTGCAGACATGATAATATGAATATGGGTTATGGAATAACTATTATATTATGCGTAACTGTTAAGTTATACTATATTTGAAAAAGTTCAATTCAAAAAAAATATTCTAACATTTCATTGCCTTATAGTCAGTAAAAGCTATTGGAGGGTTGGAAAATAATGTAACTTACACTCTAGGTGGGGTTTTACATTGATTTAAGAATTACAGGTAGATAGAATATGGGAAAAAAATAATAATAATTCAGAATTTTATATTACCTAGTTCCATAGAAATAGACCCTCTTATCCCAACACCTTATTTATAAACCAGCTTCTTATTTACTCTTTACCAAAGCATACCATTTTCTTGAAGTATGCTTATATTTTTTTGCCATTTCTCATTATTGTAAATATACTCCCAGGATTTTCCTACATCCTCGAACTCTCAAAGATATATTTCTTTACTTATTAACCATTTCCTTCTAGTCATGTAAAATAAATCGTTCAGGTCCATTTTATTTTCTTTAGCAAATTCGATGACTTCTGCATCCGTCATCATTCTGTCTCAATACTCCCGAGATAAGTTGACGACTTTTTCTGTAATAATTATAAAGATATCTGAATCTTCACTGTGATCGATAGCATATTTTCTGAGATGATCTTCTCGCTATCGTTATTTTCAGATTTGATTGGTTTGTTGATAGGATTTGAATCCTTAGGATTGTTTAATGCTTTTATTCCTCCCTCAAAACAAATATCCTTTTATTCATTCATTTTACTTAGCCGACTCCTTTATATCAATAAATAATGTTTCGCCCGTCTTGGTTTCTTTTTTTTAATTATGTAATACTAAGTCTCATAATTATTTTAATGTATTTTTAATAAAGCATTATGTTATTTCATTATTTTGTAATAATTAATTATGTTTTTATCGAAATGCTAAACAGCTATAAAGGGAAAAAATTTTTCAATATTGTATTCCTGGAGAATTGGTATTAAAAACGTACAACCTGAGCCCATTTACTGTGTTTTGAAGCCATCTAAATAAGTGTTGGGATTGCTCCACCCGTTTAGGACCATTAAAAACCTTTGCCCAATTGACTAGTTGAGGGAGCCATGAACCGGCTGTTTTGATTAAATTAAACGCGCTAGCCCCTTCGAAATTGTCTCCCGTTCCATCAATATAAGGTCGTCCGGCGAGAAGTTTAACTATCGGCATAAGATCATCGTCATTCCACTGATCAGAAGATTTTTTTGATAACTCATTTACGGGTTCCAGAAGAAGTTTACCTGAAATTATAAATTGTTAAGTTTAAAAATATTTGGTCAGATTTTTTTTTATTTTTTTGTATGAATTTTAGAGATAAAGAACATACCTTGGAGAGGTTCCGGATTTAGTATCGCAGTGCAAACAAAGTCTGCTTCTTCATCAGATTTATCGCACCAATCTTGATACACATCAATGGTCTGCGTTCCGACACTCGAGGTCATTTCTGGAATTTCTCAGGTTGCTTGGTAAAATTGAAATAGTTTTCTTTTCTTTCCTCTTACACTTTTTACTTGAATAAGCTTTACTGTTTTAGGATGAGATTTGATTAGATACAGTACGTTACAATTTTTATACTTTCAGATACGTCATGCGATGAGCCAGTATATCACATGTTAATGATCTATAGTAGTAATTACAAAAATTATCGAGGTAAGACTAAAGAAGTGTCAAAACATGAATTTAATATATTTTATAGATTTTTTTAGCTAGCGTTATGACAACAAAGTGTGCCATTTTATCATGTCAAAGAGAATGTGTATTAGTATCATGATTTGTATTTTATCCATCATCATCACATTGATTGTTAAAATTGGAAAATTTTTTTGAAACCCTTTTTTTTTCTCAAGGTTTAAAATATCAGTTATTTTTGTACAATATTTTGCATTATACATTACGTATATCTTATTTAGCAAACTATCTATGGGTTTTACAATTTACAAATCTACAAATCCAGAATTGTTTTAACGGTATCCAAAACCTCCAGTATCGACTCAATTTGTGAAGGGCGAGTGGACGAGATCGGTCATATGAACGGATCATTAACCACCTACACATTAAAGACCTTTGGAAATTGCCTGGAAACATAAAAAAAAAAGAGTTAATACCAACTTTTCGGTTTGAAAATATATTTGGTATAAAAGTAAATTTTGATTTCTCCCGGCAGTTTCCCATATCTCATGACTTGATTTTACCAATAGATTATCACGAATTTTTTCAGTTAAATATCTGATCGATTTTTTTTAAAAATTTTTTTTTTTTTTTTTTTACTGTAATATAAGAAAATGACTCCACAATTAAAAAATATAATATTACAATATTTAAAATTTCGAACAAAATCTACTATTAAAGATGTTTTTATAATAAATAGAAATCAAAAAAATAGTTTAACCAAGAAGATTGTAAATGATTATTATTCAAAATGGACAATATTTAAAAAAGTCGACTCAATAGAAAAATTAAAAATTCGATCAATACATAATCGTAATAATAATAATACTTCAAAAATACAAAATAAACGTTGGGAAAGCACAACAAATCATCATAATAAGGTTGTAACGGCAACAACAGCAACAGCTCATCCAGTTCATGATGAAAATAACGATAATAATAACAATAAAAAACCTGTTATAAATTTCACATCTAATGCTCACCTTCTAGTATCAGATTCTAATTCCAACATAACGCAAAAAGCCTCACAATCTTTAAATTTATCCAAATTAATACGAGCTTATAGAGATCTCGCAAAAGCCAGACTTGCAGCTCTTGTAATATTAACCACAATGTGTGGATACGCAATGGCTCCAATGGCAACTGATCTCACGTGTCTTTTTGCTACAACGGCAGGAACGGGATTATGTATAGCATCAGCAAATACATTTAATCAATTAATGGAATCATCTTATGATGCACAAATGTCACGAACGAGGAACCGCGTACTTGTACGAAAAACAATAACACCTTTACATGCGACTTCATTTGGTATTATAACAGGAATAACAGGGGTTGGAATATTATCTACAATGGTGAATCCTTTAACAGCAATTTTAGGACTTTCTAATATCGTATTATATACTTGTATTTATACTCCTATGAAACGTATTTCTATTGTAAACACTTGGGTTGGATCTGTTGTTGGCGCAATCCCTCCAATGATGGGTTGGGCTGCTTGCACAAACAGCTTGGATCTAGGTGCATGGATACTAGGTTCAATTTTATATGCGTGGCAATTTCCTCATTTTAATGCGCTTGCTTGGAATATGCGTAATGATTACGCTAAAGCTGGATATCGTATGATGGTTGTCACAAATCCTTCTTTAAATAGTCGTGTATCTTTAAGATATGCTTTATTGTTATTTCCTATAAGTTATATTATTCCTTACATTGGAATGACATCTTGGTGGTTCGCATTAGATTCTACTATAATTAATTCTGGACTTTTATGGGGTTCATTTAGATTTTGGAGAAATTCTAATGATAAAACTGCGAGAGATTTATTTTTTGGTAGTCTTGTACATTTACCTGTCATTTTGGCTTTATTGATGGCTCATAAAAAGAATTGGAGAACAATAGATGATCAAAATGATGATTTGGAAATCAATTCATTGGAAATCGATTCAGAAATATAGTTTAATTGGTTTTATTTTATGTTGTTCCTATTATAATTATGCAATTTATTACATAAATAAATAATCATTGATATATAGACCTTTAAAAAAAAAATTAGATTAAGTTTGATCTCTCAGAAAATGTTTTAAAAAAATTAATTATATAATTCTTAATTTCATTAATTGACAAATAAATATTTCAAAGTAAAAAAAAAACTAAAAAGTATAATTCATTCGAGTTATCGAATTTACTATCACGCTAATCTTTTAGTTACTCATTCTTTTACGTATTTATTGATACTTTGGATCTTTGAAATGTCACGCTGTAGAAATATATTTTAGTTATACTAAAGGTAAAATCATTGATCATTCTACTTTAAATAATTATGAAGAAATTCACTTACTGCCAGACTTTGTATGATTAGGAGGAAGATATTCATCCATGTCCTCATCTTCATCAAATGAAGTATATAGTGATGCAGCGTTTAAAATTATCTCTTCATTTACCTTTGAAATAATAACTTCATGTTGGTTATTATTGTCAGTCTCCATAGCCTTTGGTTTGAGGTTATTCACCGCTTTATAAAGTTTAAGCAATTCTTCTGAGAATTTAGCATTTGAACGCACTACAGCAAGTAATTTACTTGTATTAATTAATTTATTCGTCTTGTCAGCAGCTTGACTTTGTTCAACGTCAGGGTAGTTTGACAAAGATAAAGGAACAATTTCCGCTTCTTTTCCCTTATAAGTTGAAGTAACATCCTTCACAACTTCCTTTTTTTGTGGTTCTTTCTGTTAAATTGTGACTTCGTCAATTACCGAAACTTCAGAATAATTATCAGAAGGGGTAATTCCTAAGTTTTATTCCATCCCCTAACTTACTTGTTTGGTCGTTATAAATGAACAATTATGTGTGCACCATTCTTTTCCTGCAAATGTAAAATGACAATGAGACATCATATTGAAGTATTTAATCTAGACATTAATCCGCAGTTGAAACAAAATTCATGACGTTTTTTTTTAGAAAAAAAAATATTTAACCAGCACTATAAAATTGCCTAAAGTAATAATGAGAACTTTAATAATAAGAATCTGTATAATTAATACTATGAAGATTATATGATTCTGATTGTAAAGAAGGTTTTCAAATCACACAGTAACTTAAATATATTAAATTTAGATAGTTTGGGTTATAAATCATTTCTATTCATTTGATGATCTTATCATTAACATCAGTTTTTATATTTTTTAAATATTTTCAATGATAAATTATGCTAATCTTTTATAGAATCAGATCAGATATATTAATAGCCTATTCCAATTTTAAAGTTTTTAATTTTTTAGACTTATAATTCAGCAAATAAGTCTTTATATTTATTTTAAATCTTAAATCTTAAAAAATCTAGTTAATAATACCAATTTAATAATTTATATTAAAATTTAATATATAATAAAATTTTGTATTATATTTTAATTCTTTTTTAGTGTAACTATTCCAATAAGTTAAAGATTGATAAAATTAATTTAAATCTAATTATTTATTATAATTTAGTAAAAAATTTACATAAAAATTTAAGATATAAAAAAAAAGGTAAAAATTCTTGCACTAATTAATAATACTTATCAACTTTATTTTTTATTATTTAAATTTTCTATTAATTTTAGCTTTTGAATTTTAAAAAGTTTTTATTAAACTAATTCATATTAGATAACTGATTGTCTTATTAAACTTTAGTAATAATTATTAATAAAATTATCATTATAATATAATTAAAATAAAGATAAATACACAATATCATTGTGTGGTCTGTTCATTTGTAAAATCCATATTGATTTTCTACCATACTAGAATAACTTCTGCATTTTCCAGCTGGTTAAAATATATATCAATTATAAATAAGTCTTACAAAAATAATATATCAGGAACTATTTTTACATTAGTCAGCTTGTTAAATAGCATAATATTTACTTTAAATTATACCAAATAAATTATACAAAAATTTTTTGTTTTAATTCCTTCCATAATAAATTATATGAAAAAATAAGTTATATAAAATTTGTAAATAAGTCATATGAAAAATTTTTGTCTCAACTTCTCCATAAAAAATCTTATAAAAAATATATATATCAGAAATTATGCTTAATGACTCTCAGAGGTCAGAAAATATAATAAAGATTTTTTGACCTAATTCCTCCTATAATAAATCTTACGAAAAAAATTTTATCCTAATTCCTTCTTATAAGTTATATGAAAAATAATTATATCAGGAATGTATTCTATGCAAGCTAGCTCATTAAATAATATATTTTTATTTTAAATTATACAAAAATAAATCATACATAAAATTTTTGTCACAATTCTCAAAAATAAGTCATACGAAAAAATAAGTTATATAAAAATTTATATAATAAATCATACGAAAAATTTTTGTTTCAATTCTCTCAAAAATAAGTCATGAAAATGAAACAAATTGTTTTAACTTTTCCTTAATCAAGAACAAGTTCCATACAGGTTAGTTTATTAAATAGCATATAAAAAGAAAAGCTATTCGACCTTTTTTTTTTATAGTTAAAAAAAGAGGCACCAAGTTGAAAGAAACCTAACAGAAAAAGCTATCTCCTAAAGATCTTAACCAAAGAAGGAAATAAATTATACAAAATATAGATTATACTTTAATGTCCTTTGTGAAAATTCAGAAAAATCTGTGAATTGTCCTAATTTTTCCTTAATCAAGAACAGATTCTGTGTAGGATAGCTTACCTATTTCCCATTTTTTCTGCAATACTAAAGGTATAAAGAGTAAATCTAATGAAAATTTAGCAAATGTTCATTAAATATTACGCCTAAAATTCTAACTAAGATTTAGGTAAAGAGTTAGCTGAAATAATTTTCCATTTATTCTGGTTGACATCTATTGCAATATTTTCCCTCTTCTAATTTTATCAGATAGAGGCATTCCTTGTAAAGAGTAATATTAAAATTTGCAAGCGTATTTCTATAGGCATCTATTATTTCCTCATAAGTTCTTTCTTATATCTCAGATTAAAGTCTTTCTTGTATCTCTGATCGAATTTTATCATAGTATTAGATAACATAATAACCTCTAACATGTAATAGGCATCAGTCATAAGTAGAGAATATAGGCTTATTACAATCAGAATATGGTATTCATTTTTTAGCTTTCTAATAAAAATGACATCCTTCAGGATGAATACAAGAATTTTCATAAGTCTTTTTAGTATTGTAAAGATATGAGCAGGAATATTTACTGATCATCTTATTTTTAACACTAAATTTCAAAAGATTAATTAATAAATAGTTAATACTTCAGTTCGTAATAGCTTAAAATCATTTTGGCAGGCCTGTAAATATTGCCTTCAGTGGCAACTCTATGATCGAAAAGTGAAAGGTATAGGAAATAATTAATTAAAGAAAAATTTTATAAGCAAGTAATAACGTGACAGTAAGAGCTAATATCATAGTTAGAAAAATTAGAAGTAATAAAAAGAATACAACATGTAATTGTTGTGGAAAAACTTTAGTAAACAATAATAAACTTTATGAGCATCTTAAAAAAAAAAATTTATATAAGTCTCAAACTGTTAATCAGGAAGTTATTTGAGATCCTAATCAAATTACAATTATTTAGTCTACAAGGCCAGCTTTCAAAGCAATACCAATTCTTCCTGTATTACCTAAGAATGAAGAGAATAGGTGAGATCAAAGTGAAAAGCAAGCCTAATCCCTATTTTTGGTAGGGATTATTTTACTGAAGAGAAGGCAAAAAAGTGGGTTAATCCAAATGCTCAAAAACCCAGAAAGCATTTTAGGTCATAAGGAAAAAGATTGGTACAAAGGTAGAAAAATTCGATTTAAGAGACTATGATATACCAAATGATCTAAATGGATGTTTAATTCTTTATTATGATCTTGAACAATATGATTCTGAAGCTATTCGTTTACTAATATTGGAAGAATTAAAGAAAGTTTTCACCAAACAGAATGAAGTTCAAGTGTGAGAAGCTGGCCTGAGTCTCACAACCAAATTCTTTAAAAAAGATAATAAATCTAAGAATTTGATTAATAAAGAATTGAGCGCTTAGGAGAAATTACTGCTAAATAAGAAAAAGACCTAAAATTTAAAGAGTAAAGAGAATTAGGCATAGCACCCAAAAGAAAAGCTATAACGGTACATTGTGCAAAAATTCCTAGATCTTATCCTGATAATTAAAGTGATATATGAAAATTTTTAGAAAGTTGAAGAAAGTAATTTAGAGAATTATTTGAAAAAGAATTTGATAAGCGTAGATAATTCAAGTTTGCTTTATACTCATTAGATAAATTTCTCATAGATGATAAACCTAAAAAATACAAATTGCTTGTAAGAAAGTCGGATATAAGTTTTCTCTTACAAAGATCAAAAATTGGCTAAACAAGCAGACTTTACATTAGATTTACAAGCCTCAGCCAAAATTTATTTAATATGTCTTTTTTAATAATATACAATTTTTAAATGAAGTGTACCAATCTGATACTATTCCCATGCCTCATGATAAAATAGGTAATTGTATTTATAAGTATAAAAGCATTATCAAAGATGTTACAACTAGATACTGACATAATTTTGCATTAACTGATAAATCTTCTGCACAAATGGTTAAAGCAATTCAGAAAATTTACAATGATCCTAATGATCCTCTTAATCTACTTAAAGATTTTATTATAAATAGAGATACTAAATATATAGGCGAATGTAAAGATTTATTACTCAGTTATAATGTTAAAATTTAGTATGCTAACTCTAAACATAATGTAGCTATTGCTGAACATGACCATCAAGAATTTGAAAAACATGCTTATTTTCAGCAAGATACTGAAAATTTTTATTTGCCTTTAACTGATAGATTCAGAATTTTATATAAATGATGATAATTATAATAATATGCCCACTAAGTTAATAGGAATATCTTCTAATGAGGCTATGAAAAGAGCATTAAAAGGCAAAAAAATAATAGCTAGACCTTCTGTCAATCATAGGAGATCAGTTGGTTATAATAAACCACTTTTACCTAACTATACTGAAGTTCAGCATCTATTAGAACCTGGTGAATTAGAAGGTGGTAGAAGAAGGAAAACCAATTGCTAGGGTTCCTCAAAATCGAATCGAATCAAATATTTAAGCAATTTGAAATAAATTGATTTGATTTTTTCAAATTGAATCAAATTGAATCAAATTGAACTCAAATATTTGATCGAATTAAATTAAATTGAATCAAATATTTGTCAAATCAAATCAAATCAAATCAAA